GTCACTAAGGGCCGAATTTACAGTGTATAGTTAAACCATAGTTAACTTAACCGCAAACAATTCAAGTCGCCTAAAACCATACAACCCCGAAAAATTCACATTTTTTCAAGCACGGTGAATTCGGCCCTTAAACATATGTAAGTTCCTACAATTTATCGGTCAGACTTTTATTTTTGATTGCATGGAACGAATGGGAACGGACAAACAAAACTCGGGTATGTTTTGAAGTCGATATGGGAAAATTGGATTTGCTTCTGTACAAACCCAATCGGGTAGGGCTTACCACGATACAATGCAAATAAAATAGAAATATAATGTTGAAAATGTTACTGTATTACCACAATGGCCTTTAATTACTAGCTTTTATTTAGTTTCATCTGTCCCGGTATCTATAATCAAATCTTGCAATAAATTTTTAACCAACTTTCCGGTGAGATGGAGACGAAACTTCAAACGTTGCTCACAACCCGATGAGAGTGCAATATGAAGAATGCATTAATCCGCTAAGTAACGCTGTAGTCGAGATATTTGGAAAACCATATTGAGAACGTACATATATTACTTACATGAAAATCCCACAAAAAATGTTTGTTTGTAGGGGGGGGGCGGCTCATGGCGTCGAAGTATTTCGAAAAAATTGTGATATAAAATAGTCAAGGCTTTTGTTACTAAAACATAAATGCAAATGGTAAATATAATTACTGAAGAGAACACTCGCATTAAGCTTTTTTTTTTAACTTAATAAAAGCCTTGGCTTATTTCATTTACTTTGGAGCGCATGCATGCTAAATAAAAGTTTATTTTACATTATGTTATTTACTCCAAAAATTAGTTTACATCTTGTATCAAAGACTACAGCTATTTTTCTTAAGCTCTGAATGTGGCATCAGTTAAAACAACTTATCTTTAACAATATTGATATGTGTAGCATTGTATGAGAAATTATTTTATTAAAACAACTTAATTAGAGTTTTTTGAGTTATTCAATTTATTAAAAAATCCTAACTTCACTTTGGGCCGATTTCATATTAAGATTAAAAATTTTAAAAAAATTTAAAATTTATTTGGCTGATCGATTTCATAAAGCCACTTTAAAGTTAAAGGTGACCATACTCTTTAGTTAAATACCCAAAATGGAATTTTAATTGACATAATTAAATATTTATGACAATCAGCTAATGCGATTTTGCCGAGAACAGCAATGCCAACTTTGTTATTTTCATTTAAATGAACCTTTTGTTATTATTCAATTGCCATTGTATTAAAGTACATTTAAATTACACTTTAACTAAAATGAAACTTTTGTAAAAGGACCTTTAAGTGGTTCATTATGAAATTGTACCTTGGGGTTTTTTTTTTTTTTTTTTTTAAACTTAATTAATTTTTTCGACCAAATTCGTCAAGTAACCAAATGGTTTTTTGGCCGCCAACGATTTTCTAATTTTTCCCACTCACAAATACCCTGATTATAGAAGGTTTTAGCCAGTATTTACCTATTATAAAATCCGTATTAACCCAATAGTCACGATTTAAGGAAAAAATCTTTTTTTCTTCATTCATTAAAATTTGAGTTAGGCTACTTTAATTGAACGGCACAGATACATACTGTTACGCCCAAAATTGAGCGTACGGCTCTTTTTCTTAATTTTTGTACACAGTATCATTCGTGGATTTACATGGAGTTTGCTAAAATATAAGCCATATTTTAATACAAAATTAACATGTAAAGCATTGCGACTATGTATTGGCAAAAAAGAGCCGTACGCTCAATTTTGGGAGTAACTGTATTTACACATACATACATACATATACGTACATGCTCAAAATATTCATAAAACGCATTCAAAGCTCGTCATTGAATTAGAAACTGCTTGACTAAATAGTTTATATTTTGCTTATTTGGACTGTTCTGGTTTTAGTTTTTGTTGGCATGCAGCACAACATTTTTCTGATTTTTAAAACTTAATATGCATTTAACACCAATTTCATGTGGTCAAGTGTCAAGAGTGTCAATGTTAACATTATCAACTGATATCCGTAGAAATTATTTAAAATATTACGTTTAGTGTCAATATCGCATAAATTGAGTTTCGTAAAGGCGGTGAACATGGAATACACATAGTATTGTAAATAAACATAATGAAAAAACGCCGAGACAGGTAAACTTGATTTTGGGTCATAGATTACGGATATAGGTGTTTCTATATCACGACAGAGATACATAGTTTCATTTTAAATTCAAACGGACAAAATTTAAAAACAACAGGGTTTTTGTAAATTTTTTTCTTTTACAAAAAAAAAAAACAAGCTGCCAACAAAGAAAATCAATGGTTAAATAAAGTTGTGAATGATCAAATAAAATGCGCAATCATTTTTTGCATGAAATATATATGTATGAGAAGAAAAGAACGTTTGAACTTTTACCCTTTAATAATGCAAATTGACTTGGGAAAATTACCTGATCTAAAGAAAAACGATATACATATGCGTAATCTATGACCCAAAATTAAGTTCACATGTTTCGATTTTCCCTACAGACAGAGTAATTAATACTCACATACCATGTTACGTCATATTCACTATTCCTAACAGCTGAATTTTTTTTGTCTTTTCATTAGAACACGTCCATAAAAACATTCGTGGTACTTTTAGTTTTTTTTTTTCAAAATTATTATTTTTTTTATAGGAGTATGTAAGTGAAAATGTAAAAAATAAGTAAGTAAAAAAAGATTTGACTTTTTTTTGCAGGCCACTCCGAATGCACCTTTCCAATTTAATGCAGGTACTGCACCTGTCTCAAGCAATATATTTGCGTAAGTATAGCAGTGAAACTGTTTTCAAAAAAAAAAAACAAATGAAATTATTAGAAAAGAAAAATGTTAACTGCTGCTTCAGGAAAGAAAGTGTTTGTACGGCATTAAAAATTCAATCTTGCTATGTAACATTTATATAGCTACATACATACATACATACATACTTGCATCCACTAACTATTTACTAATTTTGTTTTGTTTCGTGCATTTGAAATCATTGTGTGATGGCGAAGTTTTGTTCTTGAATTGATTTGTGCTTTTTTGTCGATTGTCTGTGTGTAATTAATTTGAAATCTTTTTTTTTGTTTTAATTTGTTCAAATCATACATACACTATCTATCACTCGTGTAAGTCTTCATTAAAAGTGTAAATATACATATCTACATACTTAAAATACTTAAAAAGTATAGTTTTTCTTCCATCCAAAATACACATTCCAAATCAATGCTTTCCAACAAAAACAATTTGGAAAAGAGCTAAAATCCTTGAGCAGAAGTTGAACATTCTCGTTTTTAAAATCAAGATGATAGTTTATAAACAAAATACGTTGTTTTCAATTTTTAAATCAACAGGCCAACACCATCAGCGCCAAACGCACCGGGTGCCATGCAGGCACGACGAAAGATCCGGCAACCGACAAGACGTCTTACACCACGGTAGAGCAATTTATAGCAGCGGACGCCTCTAAAGGCGTGGACCAACAACAAACTAAACTGACGGGACAACTACAATGGTCAAGACAGAGGAACATCAAAGACAACAATAACAGCAACATTAAAATTCCCGCTAGCGCGTGGAACGACGATTGTCACGCAGCAAAATTAAACTACGATGACAGTGGAAACAGTGGAAGCAGCAACAATAGCAAAGCCCAAAACGAATTAGGAAAATCGCTATTAAATAGTGGAACAAGAGCGGCTAGTGGCCACAAAGATAACCGTGGCTACAACCCGGCCATAAAATCTCAAGTGACTCCAAACAAATATAAATACATACGTATGCCGAACAGCACCGGCACTCAAAATACTTACAATACTGCAATATTCGCTGGAAAAAGCAACACAATTTCAGAGAAACCTAAAATATTGTGTAAAAGTGGCAGTATGAATGAAATTTCCGTTCATCAGAAGTCTGGAATGCGATTAGTTAAACGTAGTATTCGCATTCGGCAGAAATTTAATAAAGGTAAAGCGGAATGTGAAGTACCACAAAGCTCAAGCGTTGAAATGCAAGCTCTGGTCAAACCAAATCTATATCGCAAAGTTAATATAAAAAATGGTAAATCGGTGGCAATAACGACCCAAAAGCCTCGTCATACCACGTTGCAGTTGCCATCACAAACGCCTTCGGAAGGAATTAGTCAGTATCGTTTGGAGCGTAGCCAGCAAGACAACACAGAGCTGAATCCATTGCATAGTCATTTAGTTGAATCCTTGGCAAAGAAAACTGAGCATTCAATAGATAGTCGAAAAGCGCGCTACTCCTTTGTTATCACCACGGCCAATAGAGCCACTATTGCTACAGATGATGCTATTGACTATGTTCCCAGTCCGACTGTGGCCACAAGAGCTGTTTCGCACAAATGATAATGCGGTCCCGGATGCGAAGTAATTTTGTTACCAACTATTAAAAACATAATTTTCAATGTGCGGGTATATGACAGAAGTAACGTGACAGGTTCCATTATTATTGATTTCTACGGGTTAATTTAACCAATTTACTATTTTTAAGAGCTCTACTATTGTATAAAAAAGAATTAACAAACAAAAGATATAACAGATAATAACGAGGTTATAATAGGTAAAAGAAGAAATTAGAAAATAAAGAACATCAGAATCAAGAGAAAATGAATTTTGCAACGCAATTACATTAATATAAAGAACTTGTACTCCTACTGCACAATTAGCAAGAAGGAAAAAGGAGGGACTAAATCCCGGGAGGGTGATGAATACAATTCGGTGATGTGGAAAGTAATACGTTAAACATGCTTTACAAGATTTTAAACGTACATTTTGATAATAAACACTTTTTAATTCACAGGCCCTGAGAGGTATAAAAAAAAAAACTATTGCATCCTAAATCCTGTGCTTATTTTAATCTTGTTTAAAAAAAAAAAATACGTATTCGTCCCCGATATTAAAATAAAGGATAAGAACGAACCCCTTTCTACATTTAAAACTGAAAATATTTCTCACAACGACTATTTACATGCATTATATTTTGTTATATTTTTTAAGAAAAATATTCGTTCCATCATTAATAGTGTTAACAAAATTATAAATCGTAGTTTAATTGAATTATTTCAACTTTGTTTTGTACTAGAAGTCAACATTAATCCACGGAAAACCGCTGAGGTTTCACAATTATACAATAAATTGCTGTACATACATACATATAGTATTTGTTAAATATATTTTTTTAATTGGCCTCATTTTTATAGGAATCGGGCATGGAGTTTCAATCGACTACTCACACAGCGTTATACATACAACGTAAATAACTAATTATCTTATCTTGTTTGCAGTTAAGCCTCTAAAAAAACTTACTTAAACCATAGCTGAAAATGGCATTTTTTTTAGTGGTTTCTAAATATTTTTACTTATCATCCGGATTGATTAACTGTGTGCATCGTTCGCTATCGTATCGAGAGTCAAAATTTTTGAATACATTTCAAGATTACAGAAATTAATAAAAAATAATCTGGAGAAATCTGACATTCGCTGTTTGCTTTTCAGAAAATTAATGGATATATTTTATATTTATAGACTTTTATTCATATACAAGGTGGCGAAAAATTAATCTAATTTTGTTTTTCAATAACTTTTACTAAGGCGGAATTTCTTTATTCATTCTGGACGTTTGAAAAAAACTTTTTGTTTATATTAGAAACGCAGCCTTAATAAACAAAAATCTGGAAATTTTTGTTTGGACCTTCCGTATCGTCTACAAACAAGTCAAGTAGTTGTAGAAGAATGAACGACTAAAAATTGTTCGCAGTCGTTTATTGAACGGGAAATCGACATTCCGAATACCATGGAAAAGCGATAATCGAATAATAGTCGTTTATCTACTACTAGTCGACACTCGCATTAATGGTGTAGGTGGATTTGTATGAAGTAAGTTACATGAACAAGCTGACGGTGACGGTGCCGCATAAATTAGGTCAACTCTCAACTTTGCTTACGCGATCGCGTCAAATGACAAGTGTTCAGTGCTTTGTTTACATGTTTGAACGTAAATTTTTCAATGAAAATCTTAATATTTATGGAAAAACGAAATGTAAAAAATAATGCAGGAAACCCTAATAGAAGTGAAAAAGTAAAATGCATATTTTGCGGCATAAATGTAGAATACCTACAATTATCAAATTAAAAAAATTCATATTGGGATCGATGGAGATCATTGAGGTGAGCGTAACGATATATATATATTTTTTTTTGGGAAACAACAACTACAACAATTATTAAAGGCCAAAGTTCAAATTAAGCATTTTTTTAAATTAATATTTCTCGAAAACCTCTTGAAGGATTTGGAAAATTTTGATGTCATTTGATAGAGAATTTAATTCTCTTTGATTTGATATACAGTATCGGTCATATCTAAGTGATATTGTGTGCCACTTATGTTTATTTATTTATTTTTAAGAATTTTCAATTAAAATATAGTTCATTCTCAGACAAATCCCATATAAACCCAAGATTAATAATTTGTAGAAAACTACAAAAAAGTGCAACAAATTTGCGCCTAAATTTCAAACTTTTTTCTCGGAAATGTTAGAATTTTTTTGAGTACATAGTTTTTTAGCTCCTTCTATTTTAGTACGATAATGTGCAAATTTCAAGTAGCTACGAATTACCGTTAATTTTTGAGAATTTGTTTTGTCGCATTGGCTTCCATATAATGAATAAACTCAATTTATTCGTATATGGAAGAAATCCGCAACACCTTTAGCGAAAAAAATTCTAAAAAATCAACGCTAACTTTTAGCCACTTGAAACTTACACATTATCGGACTAAAATTGAAGGAGCTAAAAAACTGTGTACTCAAAAAATTCTAACACTTCCGAGAAAAGTTTGAAATTTAGGTGAAAATTTATTGCACTTTTTTGTACTTTTCTACAAAAAACTGATAAAACCAATCGAAAGACCTTATTTCAAAATATATAACTGCATCTAA